TTTACTCCGACTCCTATGATGAACATGTACGTAAAAAAAACTAGGGAAACTACGATTAATTGCCAAACGCCCCTATCCCTGTCTTATAAGCTCCTACACCACTAACACCATATTTGGATGCAATCACCTACAGTCACATGATCATCCTTATCACAATCATTCAAACTCACTATACCATTGAGTAAGTTAACCCTTAATTGAAGGACCTGCAAATTTGCTTCACTTCACCAATACGAACGATGAACAATAAAGTGCGTAGTGTTGGAATGTCCCGCAAACAACAAGGCCTTTGGTAGGATAACTTGACTAATAACATGTATGGTAGTTACATCGTTTCACCTTCGTTTTTACCTTCGTTTCACCTTCAGTTATTTTGTAATAATAATAACTCCTTCCTTCTCCTCTTCAAATTCTCCTAAACTCTCCTTCCTTCTCCTCTTCAAATTATATCTACACCCCCTCCTCTTAAAAAAGCCTGCTGAAGAAAACTGTTAGGTCGAAACGCATACCCCTGTACGCTATTCCTATACTCAATTTCAACCTCTCGCTCTTATATCCTCGCCTTTGATCGTGTCCCATAAAAATTTCACCTATTTAGTTTCTACGGCCGCGTGATTTAATCGTAGTTTTCCTAGTTTTACGTACATGCTCATCATAGGAGTCGGAGTAAAGAAATAAAGAACAACCATTTTTGGAATTATACTGGTCCTCCCATTATTTAGGCTACAGGGCCGTAGCCCGTAGGAAGCTCTTTTTGATTGGGAGGGGCTGAAAGCGAGGGCCGAAGGCCCGAGGAAATTTTTTAATTTAGAGTCTCTGAAATGCCATTTTCCTGGACCCTGCAGCCCGGCTACATTCGGAAATGCACCGAATGGCAAATAAGGATTACCACTCGAAAGTCTTGCTCGATATTTTTTTTCGTCCGTTTATTCTTGCACGATATTTTTTTTAAGTTCGAATTGCTTGCCCGATATTTTTTTTGGGATTCTACCCACCCCCCCATCAAAAATCAAATGGTCCGTCCCT